ACAAATGCACGAAAGAATATCGATCATCTGGGACCTATATTACGTCGCTGTTTTGTCGAATTTTTCATGGCAAATTAATTCCTGCTTTGAGAATGTGGATGCACAGAGCTTAGCTTTGATATTACAATTACAGCGAATCGCACATAACTATCCTACTTTGTTGCAGATTCAGTGCGATTTTGGACAAGAGCATATTCAATCATACTCGTAGAAAATAGGCAGTCGTTATTCACTTAAAACAATCGTTTAGCTCCTCATTCCTGATTAGATTTATACATGACTGGAAATCGTTCTGTAGAGAATCCAATTTGATATTTTGGGTAGCCTCAATGTGTCGAATTAATCGTGTCACGCATAGTACATGCGAACATATAAGCAGTTTTATTAGAAATGTCATAGCTCTGGAATGCCCCATTGCCGAGAAAATAATCTTTTTATCGTATCAGCAATTTTCTAAAAATGCATGTAGATCTTGAAAAACCCAAAGTAATAAAAAGATGATGATAAAATTTGTAGAGATACATGTATTGACAAAAACTTAAAAAATGCATTCAAAGGAAACTTGGAAATTTTGTGTGAACACATGTTGTCTTAGAAATGTAAAATCGCGCAACCAAACATTGGCCCAGTTAAATGTTCCTGGATAGATTTTAAATTATTTTGTCAAATTTTGGTCATTAAAATTATCTACCTCTTTCTCGATCAATTTTAGAAACAAATTCCTCAAGGTTTGGTCATTTTTGTTTCAGTAATTTTGAAACATAAGTTTGAAATCAGTGCGGGCATTTTCCGTTCCATGGGAGGTCAAGTTAGTTTACTCGATATTTTAAACTTATTTATTCCCAAAGGGATAAAAAAAATATCTTGTTTTCTTCTTGCAAAACCTCAAGATGTTGGCCGTGGTTGTTGCTAACACATACATAGACTTATTTTCCTTCACGGAATCATATAAATCAAGCACAAAGTTTGCTCAAGCCCACCTTTACTCATTTCTTTGCTTGTGATTTCCTCTTGCTGCGTTCCATCCGTATCAAAATGTTCCTATGATGGTTCTCCAACTGTGAAAAACACGAAAAAGGTTACAATTAGCAACTGCTTCCTTATGCAACTGTAACACTGCCGGTCTTAGCCTTTGGGTCATATTTGAACAAAGCGTAGCTTTAAAACGTTCACTGGCCACAAAGACACGTGTAAATAGTATCCTGTGAGAATGCCTGCATGCACCTCTCTAGTACTGATATGGGTATAGGTTTTTTCATTGCACTATTTCAGAATTTAATATTACCATTGTAACACTAGCCTTATGTACACATTGCGAACCTATTTTTCTTGATATTTATTGCATGAAGTTTTTACTTGGTTTCCGTTGCTTACCCCTCTGCAATTCTTTAATGTCGTGTTCTTCTTTGCATGTTCTTGTAAAGATTCTTTAATGGGACTACACCTAAAGGTATACAGCAAAAATGTAGAGCTGGAAAATGTTGAGCTTATTAATTAATTTTTTGCCAACTTTCTGTGCGTAATATACCTTAAAGAGAATCACGGCTAAAAAACAGTTTTGTTCTAATTTTCTCTCTTGTTTCGAGGTTCAAAGTCGATAATTCTCCAGCAACTTTGAATGCTGTATTTTCAAATGACAGCATTTTGTGGATTTCTAGAAATGTAAACATGCTTTTAAACGTTTTCAGAGCACATTCTATCACGAAATCTTCTTCTTTAGAGCTGTTGCTTAGACCTTGGTCACCAAGTGACGCTGGAGTGACAAGTTGCTCTTCTTAGTTTACATTACTTCCCTTACGCACTCTTGTCGACGAAGTAGAAAATACTATAAAGCAAGCATGGTGCTGAGTTAAGAAAATCCTTCTGGATTGCTCTCAAAGAAGTGTGCGAATAATTTACATCTTAACGGTGGTTTGCTTTGCATTTTTAGCGTTAACATCTTGCGTACCGAGTTTTATTTTGTAACAGTTGTCACATGTATATACTGTGGGACTTTTTTCATTTCAAGATTCATCAGAAAACTTACCTTCGCGTACTAAATTTTGACGAGTGCCTTGTTCGATTCCCTTCCCCCATGCGGGAACAAGGTGTTGATATGGTACTTCACCTTAAAAAGAGAAAAGCAATGCTTGGATGAGTAAATGTCATTAAATGTCAAAGTTCTTTTTGGCACTATGTTCTCTGTACAAGATTAACTTTATACAAAATAAACAGAAATGTAGAACATACAACAACAGCAACAAAATTTCAGTCATTGACCTTCGATCCTGTTTTCAAAACCCCCTAAGAATTTGCTAATATCTTGTTGAAAAATGATTGTATTGTGAACTGCGGAAAGTGTGTAACTTAAGTACAGAACAGTGCGTAACGTACGTACAGTTGTCATAGAAATGTAAAATCACGCAATCAAACATTGGCCCAGTTAAATGTTTCTCGATAGATTTTAAATTATTTTGTCAAATTTTGGTCATTAAAATTTTTCACCTCTTTCTCGATCAATTTAAGAAACAAATTCCTCAAGGTCTGGTCATTTTCGTTTCAGTAATTTTGAAACATAAGTTTGAAATCAGTGCGGGCATTTTCCGTTCAGTGCCAAGGGAAATCAACATAGTTTGCCTGATGTTTTAAACTTATTAAACGACTGCGCTTGTCATTCTAGTAGACCACTGATCCTATTTAGCGATGTTTTCAGCGCCAAATGGAGAACCCGGCAACCGAGAAGCAACCCGTTGAGAATCAAATATTTTACAGCTTGAATTCACTATCTTACTAGAAATTTTCAAAATAATACTTAACAAACAATTCTTTCAATTCTAGTTTCTTTACATTCGGTTCTAATTTACTATACTAGAGAGTTTCGGAACTTCGTCACCAGAAACAAATGTAAGAGTAATTTTCCCAAGAAATGCCCCTTCACATTTTCACATCCGCTAAAAAAAAATAATGCTTTCACATTATTTGAGTTGTTAGCCTTCACTCACAACCCGTTTCATTCGTTTCAACAAATACACGGGAACTTTCTTTGAAATCACTCTCGCTATTTGTAACATGCAAATGAACTGCCCTTACCTCCTTCAGCCTCCGAAGCAGGATAAACTGGGTTTTGAGTAGCTTGTTTATATCAGGTCTTCCGATGAAACATTCTCCACGATTCCCTTTATCTGACCGACGGTTTTCACGGCGTCTTCCTTCATTTGTTTAGAAGTTTTCTTCCGTTGAAGAAGTCAAACCTTCTCGACCACGAGGAACGAAAGAATAAAATGCAAATAAGATGCACGACGCAAAAAAAAGTTTGCACGTGAGAGCTTCATCGCGAGGTTCCTGAATATTTTTTCAGTTGAATAGGTTATTTGCTAGTTCATTTTAATACCTTTGTTTCACAACGAGTCCTGTGGCATAACCATATGGAAACGAGTTTTAATAATCTGTGATCAGTTCAATTCCGAATAAACTTAACATTATATTTACTCGGTTAAATTTCTGGGAAAAAATATACATATATTTCAAAGGCTTAATATTTTGGAATGTTTATATTTGATTATTATGACAATAAACCTGATTAGGTTTCTTTATCGTTTTCCATAAACTATGCATTCGTTTAAGTCGCGCAAAGTTATTTTCAGTCATGATTTTAAATTCTAAGAAGTCGCTCGAACGCCAAACTTCTTTGGCTTACTTTTGGTTACATAACGATATTCCTTTATCAGAATATAACTGCAAAAACAACTCAAACTGCGTGCAATTGAAAACATTGGAGCATTCCGTGAGTAACTAGAGAAACTAAAAATAAACCTGGCCCAACATAGGTCACGCATAGCGCTTCTTTACAATCACTTTAGGGAGAAGCCCCACTCCCCCCGTTTGGCATCCTTGAGTTCACTATCATCCCCCCCCCCCTCACCTCAAATTTCGCTACCTTTCCTTATAAGGCACAAGTGAACGGAAGCTTGAAATCGAAAGCGCAAGCACCCACTCCTAAGAAGACATAGGAAACGAGCAGATTCCCTCCAGCATTGAATTGGTTGGCTAGAGAACGACTATCTACTCAGGCAGACCGGAAAACGTCGTCAGTGCGTGTTGTCAAAAGCAACTCTTCGAGTTAAGATGGCAAATTCTGCGCCTTCCCATGAACAATACATGGAAAATCCTGGCAAATACGAAGACTTTGATCTGACAATGGACGATGCGGGAAAGTATAAAGTGGTGTCAAAGGCAGAGGCCAGACGGAGGCAAGATCTGCAAGTCCTTACGAATATTTACGATAAGAAAGCTGGGGGATTCTTCAACTGGATTACCTATATGTCACGAGCGGAAAACTGTTAAATTCACTACTTCTATTTACATCGAACGTTGCAAGAGCTATGTCGTCTGTGTTTAAGCTTATTGCTTACTGCAATTTTATTAACATTGACTGCACGAGAGTCTATTTCAAACTAGTAGGCCAGTGTTGTTGGTACTCGTGGCAATCAACTAGAAAGAAAATTTATTTTAAAACGAACAGAACTGATTTCTTTTAAGTGTGTCTTGTAGATTGTGAAGGTGCCTCAGTACATTGGATGTTTAGTAGAAAACGAAAACAGCTAAAGTAGAAGTTATAAAGTAGAAAACATAATAATAACTTTGATGTGTAGCTGAATAAGCTTTCGTACCGATCACGACCTAATGTAGCTTGTTTTAGTTGTGAATAAATAGGGAATAAATTCGCTTATCATGACTGACAGCAACGCAGAATTTGTATTGGGCTAGCTTCTTTAAACATGGAGATTTCCGTCAAATCTTACCATAACGTTAAGGCCATTAATCAGTTGAAGGATGGGAAAGTTTCAATTTAGATTAGGTTAGATTTTCCGAGAAAATCAGCCTGCAGGTCATGTGACATAAGGAGAGGCACGTCATAAATATTCCAAAACAAAGTAACGCAATTTCTTAGAAAACGCGGAAGAATAATCAGGCCGTCAAACATTAAAATCGCATGTCTATGTTAAGTTAATCGTTTCCGCTTGTTATTCAACCAGCAACTAAGCTGTACAGAGTTATCAGCTAGAACTTTTTTTCAAACGAAAGAAAACTGGAAAACCTGAGCATCAAAGAAACTGGTGATTCAGAGGTCCTTGGTTGTGACTTTGACAAACATATTTTCAAGAAGTGACCATACTGTTTTGTTTAGCGGCTACGTTTAAGTGTTATAGTAAAATGCCATGACACTGGGGTGTAACTGTTATATATAAGTCACTGCTATCCTCCATCTACTGATGGACACTTTCGACTAATCTGTAAAAGTATCAACTAAAACTCATACTAGCTCTATCCATGGAGTCACTTTTGTGAGAAGCTATCGTGCCCCGTAACTGCATAGTGGTGTTCCATGACGTCCTAAATATTGAACTCGAAACCAAGGCGTCTTGACCAAGTTTCATCAGCCTGCCAGTGGTTATGTCAAGATCGTTTGCTTTCCCCGTTACTTCTTATGCAGTGTTATCTATCAGAGTTTAAACAAAATCAATCAAACCAAAACATTTGTTTCATGATCAGTTTCGTGTCGTATTAGTTACGCCACCTCTCATGCAGTTTTTTCTTTTCTCCAGATCTCAAGTTACCCTCTTGTAGTAAGAATTGCCCGCTTGATGAATGTGTTTCAGGAGGGTCTATGTCCATCGGTTCTACTCTAGTGCTGGTTGTTGAATTCTTCGGGAGTTGACTTTGGCGAAGGGAACGCGTCTCCGTTGAAGTCGAGTGCTGGCCCGAAAACTGATAACTACTGGTCATAAAACTCTGGACATCTCGCTCTGTTTCCCTGCCTTCTTTAATGCTTCTCTCTATCACCCCATCTTTCTTAAAAGCATTCCGATAAGGCAGGGGGAAAACTGTCCCCTTTTGATCGAAACGAGAGCTGGAGTTTGCTGTATAAAGGTAAGGTGAAAATGTTACCTTGTTTGGTGGCACGATGTTGGCAATGATCAAAAGAAAACCGCATGTTCCACGGCCCGGGTAATTTCTTATGACGGTCAATGAGTCACCTTGACTTGGCTGGAAGAGGCGCAGTTGATGATGGGAGTGCCACTCTCCAATGTGGCACAACATGTAATCTTGAGTCAGCAGCTCGCCGTTGCGCTGTAGATATGGAATATCTTGGTAGAATGAGACGTTTGTCCGTTTGCATCCTTGGCCAGGACCCAGAACAACGTGTATCACTGCATCACCCTCGTTGGTCCACAAACCAAACAGATCTCCGCCCGTCTCTAGACGCGGGTAACGGAGGACAAGATCTTCCATCATTTCCAAGTCATCTTTACAGATGTAAACTTTAAGATCACGTTGGTTGCATGTGAATTCGGTTTGCATCCACTGCCACCTTGAATTGTACTCACCGAACCCAGTGCCCTCAGGGACTTCAGATTCTATTCTATCAGGATTTCTGTGGGATAAGTCTTTAGAGCGTTCTCTATTGCTTTCCTTTTCCTTCATCAGTGCATCGATGAGCTTTTGAACGTCATCTTCCATTTTGAACAATCTTTCCCCAGGAAGGAGAACAATTTCTCCTTCCTTTGGGCTTGATAAATCCGGGAAAAGGTACGGGGACAGCTTCACTTGCTTTGAATCGGCGTCATAGTCTGCTGTTATTAGCACCAAACGCGTGGCTCTCCGATGAGGTGGACGTTGATCAAAGGCGCCTTTAATTGCCCTTTCGTTTCGTTCTGATCGACGCATATACTGCCATTTTCCGATACAATTTAGGTGGAACTTCTGATGTAAAAGCTTCTCAAGTCTTTGAAATTCTATGGAAAATGTGTCGTAATTCTTCAAAGAGGACTTTGAGGGCGTCTGAAGGATTTCCCTACCTTGCCCTGTTACAATGTGTAGAACAGGTTCGTCGTCGCTTGTCCACAGTCCAAACAGATCTCCGCCGGTCTCTTCAGTTGATCGACAACGAACAAGCCCCTCTATCATATCATAATCCTTTTTGAACAGGTAAACCTTTGGCAATTGTTTTTTGCTTGCGTCCATCGTTAAATTGTGGTCGGTCAATGCGGCGAAAATCGCTGTAAATGTTCAAGTAACGCTTTCCAAGATTATAATGCGGACAACAATACTCATGCGAAACACCTCGCGTGATTTCCGAGAAAATGATTTCAAAGTTTCATTTTCAATCGATTTGAAATAATTGAATGAAAATTGCTGTATGCACATGGCGTGATGTCTGAGAAAACGATTTCAACGTTTCAATTTCATTCGATTTGAAATACTTGAATGACAGAAATCGGTTTTAAGGACTTATTCCATCATGCACATTGGTGTTGTAGGTATTTTTGCCAAGTCAAAATAAAATTGAAAACGAAATTTTTGCTTTTTGGATTGTTTTATTCCTCTCAACGTTTCGATCCTCATTTGAATATTTGACAGCTCTATTGTAATTTAACTGTTCCGCATTTTCTAAGAAGTGTTTTTGCCGTCAACAGGACATCTTTCTTCTGTGTCAATGCTACTTGCAAGTTTCTCAGAAATCTATTTAATACTGTATATTTGGGTTATTGGCCAAGCGTGAGGTCATGATGGCTGTATATTGACCAAGTTCTTTTTTTTGCGTGTTTATGGATCGAGACGGAGTCGAGGTCCATAAACTCACGGAAAATGAACGAGGCCAATATCCAGCCATCTTGACCGAACAAGCTTGGACAGTAAAGGATTTATCATATGGCTGTCGGGGATTTGTTTTCTTGCGGGACACATCAGGAAGTCACGAGCGGGCAGGATAACACCATCCTGCCCGCTTGGGTAGCCAATCGCAACGCAAGATTTGGCTCATCTTGCCAGATCACGGAGCTAGCCATTTAATAACTTGAAGATTCTTCTCCGCTCTATAAATCATGCAACATACATTGTGATTGCGTGATAGTTGCATAAAATCAGCATACACATTTATTTAACCTAAATGGATAAGTACATCTCTACCCTTTCTTTTTTAGCGTTCGTTTTTCGTCTTACTGCCTCCAGCTAAAATCGTTGAGGCAAACGACTATTAGTTATTTTATGTGAGCGTTACCAATAAGTAAGAAGTGATGTTCACCACTCATATATCACAGCAATAAACATAAATTAACTTGTACCAACACTGTTTAATTTAGCTGCAGACTATGGGTCAATGCTCAATTTACTTTTCTTTAGTAATAATGTAAATCAATTTGATCCTAATAGCTATCTTGTTACATAGTTTAGTTTTTGCTTTGTTTGCAACAGGGAAACAATAAGCTTAAGATCCTTAAAAATCACTAAATATCAAGCATTTGACTATTAGTGCTGTAGAGGTTTATGGTGCATATACCTATTATAAGAAATCTATCTCTTGGAAGATCTCTTTTTCTGCTGAGCTCCAGCTGCTTGAAAAGAAGGGGTGTAAGAAGAAGTATCTACGTCCAAATTTCCTACTTTGCCAGTTGTTAAGCGACGAGACGTGTAGGAGTGCTGATACGTCGCTCCGGGCCGATAATCTCTCTCTGTTTCCATTCCTTTTTCCATGCTCCTCTGAATTACCAGATCTCTCTTGAAAGCATTCCTATAACGCTGCAGAGGAACAATTGTCCCCTTTAGATCGAATGAATTCCTGGAGTTAGCTGTATAAAGGTAAGGCGAAAGCGTCACCTGTCTACGGGGTAGTGACAGGATGTTGGCAATTATCAGAAGGAAGCCACACGTGTCACGGCCAGGATAGTTCCTTATGACGGTCGAGGAGTCACCATGACTTGGATGGCTGAGGCGCAGTTGATGATGAGAGTGCCATTCTCCAATGTGGCACAGCATGTAATTTTGAGTTAGGAGCTCGCCGTTTCGTTGCAGGTAAGGTATGTCTTGGTAGAATGAGACATCTGTCCTTTTGCAACCTTGGCCGGGGCCCAGTACGATGTGCAACACTACATCACCCTCGCTGGTCCACAAGCCGAACAGGTCCCCACCCGTCTCTGTATCTGGGTAACGGAGAACAAGATCTTCCATCATTTTTTGATCTTCTTCAAACAGGTAAATCTTAAAATCACGTTGGCTACATGCAAAATTGGCTCGCATCCTCGGCAGTGCTATATTCTCCGTTTGCCACCCTGGCACATCTTCACGGTGAAATGACACATCTTCCATCTCCACGTCGGAGGAGCCTTCATTTTTACCATCATCAACATCCTCCTTGGTCGGCGGTTTGAATCCTAAGTTTTCTGGATTTCTTTCGTTTTCAGTTCCAGGATCGTTCTTCTTCAAGAGTGCATCAACGATTTCCTTAATGTCCTCATCCTTTCTGAATACGCTTTCTCCAGGTAGGGTTTCACATTTTCCTTTCGTTTTCACAGAAAATCGCGATAAAAGATACGGCGACAACCGCATTTGCCTTGTGGAATCGTCGTGATCTACCAGTATGACTACGAAATCTTTGCCGATGGTGATCTGGTGGAGATATTCTTGATCGACGGCTTCTATTATTGCCGGTTCCTTTTGTTCTGGGCCACGCTTGAACTGCCACTGTCCAATAAGACTTAAACGGCCATTTGAACGCAAAACGAAGCCAAGCTCCTTACGTTTTGCAGTAACTGAGTCGTTGCTCTTGGACGAAGAATCTGGCAGCTTCCTTCCTTGTCCTGTTACTACATGCAGAACAGGCTCATCGTCGCTTGTCCACAGTCCATACAGATCTCCGCCTGTCTCTTCAGTTGGGCGACAACGAATAAGTTCCTCCATCATATCATAATCTTTTTTGAACAGGTAAACCTTTGGCAATTGTTCTCTACTTGCGTCCATCGTTATTTTAAATCGTGGACGCTCAATGCGCTGACTATCGCTGTAGATTTTCAAGTAACGCTTTCCAGGATTATAATGGTAAACAACAATACTCATGCGTAGCAACTCGCGTGATTTCCGAGAAAATGATTACAAAGTTTCATTTTCAATCGATCTGGAATCACTGAACTTATGTCAAAATGCGAATTTGTGCTGGAGATACTTTTTTTTGAAGTCAAATGAAATTGAAAACGAAATTTTAGCTTTTTGGATCGTTTTAGCATGTGAAGGTCTCGATCCTCATTTGAATATTTGACAGCTGTATTATAATTTAAGTGTTCCGCATTTTCTAGGAAATGTTTTCGCAGTCAACAGGACATCTTTCTTTTGTGTCAAATATTAAGCCGCTTGAAAGTTTCTCAGAAAATCTATTTAATATGCTGAAATATTCTTCTCACTTCTGTAAATCGTGTGACAGACTTTGTGACCTACAGTGCGCGAATATTGCATAAAATCAGGACACGATGTTATTTAACCTATAAGTACATCTCTACCTTTCCTTTCTTAGCATTTGTTTTTCGTCTTACTGCCTGTCAGTTAAAATTGTTGAGGACAAAGGACTATGCGTTATTTTATTTGAGCGTTTACAAATAAGTAAGAAGTGATGTTCACCACTCAAATACCTCATTCACAAATATAAATTAACTTCTAACCACACTGTATTTAAACCTATGCAGACTGTGGGTCAAAGCTCAATTTATATTTCTTAGAAATCATAGACATCCTGTGTAACAGGATGCTTCCCACTTTCTACATTTGCTTTATTTCGCAGAACCGCCGAATATTACTAGATGAATTGTTCGAAATATTTCTTGAGTCTTCATTCTAAAAGGTAGCTCGAACAAGTCATGCTGACCAACCGGGAGTATACTCTGCCAACTGTCTCCGTATAAAATAAGGAGAAAAACATTTACATCCATACGAAAGGTTATTTTAAAAATTCAAAATGAAGTAGACTTAGTAATTTAAAATTCCAAAAAGCGTCTAGGTTGTCACTCGCTTGTTATTGGCACTGGCTGTTTCTGAATTTCTCTCGCAAACCATCCACTAGAAGTCATCTCTTCTACGACCTGTCTATCTGCGGGCGCTGCATTAGCTTGAGCGGAATTTGGCTCGCTCTCCACTATCAGTTTTCCACTCTGCAGATCGAAAACTAATCGTTCTTTCCCTGAACTGCTTTCCCCGCCACTAGCAATCACCTTTAGCCGGCTTGCAACCACCTCTGATTTTACTATTTTTGTACTGCCATCTTCCTCTTTCGTTTCTTCGTCCTTCTTAATTACAAAGTGAAAGTCAAATTCTCTTGAACCGCGTTTGTTGCTTTTCTCTGTTGGATCCATTGCTCTGCGTTTCAAGCAGCTGTAGCTTCAAATCTTTCTTGATGATTTATTGAAAATGTGAAAAACCAAAGCTTAAATGAGAAATCAATAGCTTTACTGGAGCATCGATGCTGCAATTCGACCTGAATTTTGGGGGAAAACCCATTGCAACTTAAAATTGAAAATATGTAACTTCCGTTCTAAAGTCCATAAATGGTGTTGCTTTGTTATCTGTTCGAGTTTCATTGGCTTTCCAAGAAAAAAATGTGAATGACGTCATTCTCCGTGACACAAGAGCTAGAAACCGAAAGTGGAGGGCGAAGAAGGGAGAAAGCTCTGAGTCTTCGTGAATATCTGGAGATAATCTTAAATCTTGCTTCACAGGCATTGCGATACAAGGCGAGAAACTGTGAGGCGGACTTCTTCTAAACGTTCATCGACAAAGCTGATTACAAAGATGTCGTCTAACCCTCAGCGCATTCAACAGCACCTTGAAAACAGGGGAGGTAGCTCTGAATCACTGGTGTTTGACCCTGCCACAGGAAAGTTGATGGTGAAACCAAAACAAGAGGCGCAGAATTCTGACCGGACGGTCATGCTGGACATGAACAAGAGTGGATCCGGAGGTTTCTTTAACGTCGTCGCTTGCGACTTCCAACAGAAACCGGTTATGGAGACTATTGTGTACTCGATGAACACCACAACGAATTAATATCAATGGGCAGCATTGGAGAACTTTGCCAAGTAGAAATCCCTAGCGGATATGGCAACTGTCAGACAATTATAATATCGAAAATTGTTTAAGTTATTACGGTATCTGGACGTATGAAGTCAGAGACGATTTTCGAGTTAATTGTTTTATTGTAGAATAGCTTAACTTGTCAGATGGGACACGTTTTCACAGAACCCCTGTGTACGTATTCCAGCATATATATGGCCTTGGCTTATGTTAGTTTCCTTTTAGTAACGAACGTAAACGTAAATGAATGTTTAAATTGAGCTTAGTTTTCAAATATACGTGATTTTTGTGGCTTGTATTCAGTTTCTACGTAGTGATAAACTGGATGTCTTACGAATCATAACCAGATATGCGAGGTTTGCGAATGGATTTGACGAAAAATTATCCCTAAATAAAGTAGCAATAAACCTTTATATCAGTGTTTTATTTGTAGAGTTTGTCATAAAATCGCGGGGCGAAGCATATATATGCAAATTTCCACTTTTCACCTGAATGATTAAGTCAGTTGCTATCCCATGGCGTGATTTGTTTCTGAGAAATAACCGACTAAGCCACTTCCGGTTCGGTTTACAGCTTTAAATGGTCACGAAATCACCAATTACATTTAGAACATTAATAACGGCCATCACGCTAGTAATGCAGATGATAAAACAAGGGGCAACAATCTGAGCCTTTTGGGAAAGGATAAATTTATTTTATTGCTAGGTCAATTACAATCACTGATCAACACTGTCAACGTCTCTGCCTCGGTTTAAATATTCATTAAAAACTATTAGACTATTTGGTTTTACAGAGTAACGATCAACCTATAGAATGGAGCGTTGTACCCAGAGAGTTAATTCTGATAAACTAGATTGAATTATCACTAATTCTACNAAATGGTCACGAAATCACCAATTACATTTAGAACATTAATAA